TTGCATTGATATCCACATCTGTTGGCCCAAGGCCATCTGGGAGGCTAAGTGATGAAATGGGAGTCTGGAGGTGTGGTCGGGTGCTTTTCTTTTCACCAGCCATGTAGTCTCTTGGATGACAGTTAAGTCTGGGCTAGACCAGTGGGTCTTGATCAGCCCCTAGGGACATTTGACAATCTCTGGAGACACTTTTGATTGACATAACTGGGTGAGGGGTGGTACTGGCATCTTGAGAGTACAGGCCAGGGATCCTAAGCCTCCTACAACACATGGGACAGAATTATCAGCCCAAAATGTGAGTAGTGCCTGGGCTAGACCATTGTTATTCAACGTGTGGACCAGAGACCAGCAGCATTGGCATCACCTGGGACTTTGTTGGAAATGCAGAATCTCAAGCCCCAGACCCACTAAATCTGACTTTGTATTTTAACAATCTCCCCAGGTGATGTGAGTGCACATGTGACTCTGAGAAGTACTTACTTAGTTGCGCCCTAATGCCCATCACCTCAGATGCCCTGGACGCCAAGAGTCTGTGAAAGGGTGGGCAAGGAGTGTTATTCCCACATGTAGATCTGCTGATAATAGTGTTTGTCCCCAGGTGTGCTTTCAAATGCTGAACATCCACGACACCTACGGCGTGCACTACACCTTCGGCTTGCCAGGTCTGCTTGGAGGGATCATCTACGTTGTGCTGATGGCGCATCAGGTCATGTGGACGGATATTTCCATGTGGGTCATTTCGCTCAGCCCCTTATTATCCCATCCAGCTTGGGAAGAAGTGTGCTCAGAGCCCTTGGCTGGGTGGGGGGCATACATTAAGGGCCAGGCACTCAGAAGGCCTCAGTGAATATTTCTTGGCCAATTTATTTTGAAATTCTGCCCAGCCCCTACCTCGTATGGACTTATCACCTCTCCAGGCCACTTCTTTCCAAAGCTGGCAGCTTAGGTGCAGGGCAAAGGCAGACAGTCCTGAGGCATCCCCAAATGCAGACAGAGCAGAGCAATCAGGCCCAAGTTGACTGAGTCCATTTTTCAACCCATGGTAGTTTAGGTTGTGGTGAAGTGTGCTGTGGGTCAGACTGGTTTTGACCTCTTACTAGCTGGGTCATGCTACCTAACCCCTCTGAGCCTCCATCGCCTGAAACAAATGAAAATAATGATAGTACCTCTTCTCAGAGGGTTGTTGGAAGCTACTTGAGGCCAGGCGCTGTGTGGTTAAGAGGGTTTGATATGTTAATGTAGGCAAATGCTGAGCACACCTCAGCCCAAAGGCCTAGAGAGGGAAGGGGCTTGGCTAAGGTCTCACGATGAGGTGGGAACGTGGGCCTCTGGGCCAGAGTCGGGTCCTGTGCCCCCTAGCCAACGGACAGCAGTGCTCAGAACCCTGGCCATCACCTTCTCGAAGTTGTTTATCTTATGAACGTGTCTCACATAAAATGAAAAAAGTGACTTAGGCACAAGACAGGGATAGATTTTTCCAGATAAACCAATATAGTGATGATAATAATAATATTACTGATGACAATCAGAACTGCTGATTGACTGCTTTCAAAGTGCTAGGCATTATTCCAAAATCATCACATGCATCATATCATCTAATCCTCACAACCACCCTCTGAGATGTTATTAACTTCCTCAAAGGAACAATACTTGGGAGGAGTTACCTGTCTGAGGTCATGTGGCGGGAACCTGGCTGTGAAGGTGGTGAGCACCTGCGGTGGGTGGTGAGAGCTCACAGTGTTTGGGGACATCTCAGAGAAATCACGGAGGGCTGGGTCGCTTGTAGCTCCAATGACAGAGACAACCATAGCTCCAAATTATACGAATCATCTGAGGGCGGGTGAGACATACCTCCCTAGGTTGCATGGGGTGAGGGGGATCCTATTTGAGGGTGGGGAGGGGATGGTCTGTGTGAAGTAAGGCATCTCAGTAACGGACTCCAGGGATGTGTCCGCCAGTGTTTTAATAGCTGTGTGACTCTCGGCAAATCTTTTCCTCTCTCTGGGTCCCTGGGTCCCCCTTTGTAGAATGAGGGGTGGATCTAGCAGAGTCTTATGCCCTGGTGTCTATAGGGGCCAGGCAGGTAAGGTGAAAAATGAGACCAGCAAGGGGAGGAAACCATGGGCGATTGCTCTTTGATGCCAGGCAACGAATGCCATGCAGGGACCCAGGATCAATGTCGCCAGATCTGATGACTTTTCAAATTATGCATGTACTGTCCCAAGCATTGGCAAAAGATTCAAAAGCATTAGAAACATTGTGCGGGCCAAATTCTGCTTGTGGGCTGCCAATCTGAAACTTCTGGACCACCTATCCTTCTATTCCTCAAATTCTGTGACTCTGGATCTCCTAGAACAGAAGTTCTCAGCAGGAACAGCATCACCTGGGAACTTGTAAGAAATACAAATCCCACCTCACCCCAGACCCACTCAATTAGACATTAAGGAGCAGGGCCCAGCAGTCTTCTTTGTGATTCTCATGCCAACTCAAGTTTGAGAACTATTGGCCTATAGCAAAAAATCCAAACAACAACAACAAACACAAAAAACAAAACCCCAAAATCAAAACAAAGCAAAACAGTCAACCAACAGTGTGCTCCTAAAGGCTCTCCAGGGAAACAAATCCTGACTTGCAGCATTTGTTAATTTCACCGATGCAAGTACTCTCACTGTGGCTAATTTCAAGCCATCAAGGTGACATCACTGAACATGGAGTTGAGAAGAGATGAGACCGCTCAGCCGGTGTGTCTATGTGAGCTGGCTCCAGCACCCCTCTGCAAGTCAAGTCTCATCAGAAGGAGATAGCCGAGGACCAAGAAGTAGTCCTCTCTCTTCTGCAGGAACCAGGCAGGAGGAAGGGCACAGTGACAGCAATGACCTCTCTTGGGGAAGCCTCTTGTTGTCTTTAAGTAAAGGGCTCAGGCTTCAGGGACAAACAGACCAAGGTCACGTTTACCAGTTGTGTGCCTTTAGGTATGGTATTCAACCTCAAATTTAAGTGCCAGTTTTCTATCTGTAAAATAGGATAATAAGATCCATGTTCCAGGGCCACTGGGGATTCAGCAACGTAGAATAATAAAGGGGCTCAGGACAGTGCTTGGCATGGAGTAACACCCAACACACGGTCCCTTTCTTTATGATGGTCACTAATGCTGCTGCTTCCGTAAGAGGGACATCTGGATGTAGTGGAAAGACAGAGGAAGGACCGAGCTGGTGGGCAGAACGCTTCCTGGGAAGTGTGGATCAGCTGCTTTCCTTAGCTCTGTGTCATTGGGCACGTGAGCTGGCTTTTCATTCATTCCACAAACAATACTTGCCGATTTCCTGTTCAGGTGAGAGGAAGTGAATGAGTTGGATGCTGTGCTCGGAGCCTGGACAGAGCATTTTTCACAAATTGTGGGATTTTAAGTGGTGTGAAGACACACTTCAAGAACATTGAATCACACAGTGCAGATGCTGTTTCCCTTTGATTACATCAGGGAGAAAGTCTCAACTTGGTACTGAGAGTCTCCACACTCTTCCAATAGCTGCTGACCTCCTGTTTGAACAACAGCAGAGGAAACCTCAGACTGAGATTTGCCCAGGCTGTAGCATCTGGGGGAGATTCTAGCAATGTTTTCATTGTCTCTCTTTTTTATAGTGACCTCTCATTTCTCTTCCATTTACACTAGTGATGCAAAGTTTCCTTTTAAATACACTTATTTAAATGTTTTTTTAAAAGTCTGTTTGCACACCTATGGTCAAATCTTCGACAAAAGAGACAAGAATGTACAATGGAAAAGAGATAGTCTCTTCAATAAGTGGTGTTGGGAAAGCTGGACAGCCACATGTAAATCAATGAAGTTAGAACACTCCCTCACTCCATACACAAAAATAAACTCAAAATGGCTTAAAGACTTAAACATAAGACATGACACCATAAAACCCCTAGAAGAGAACATAGACAAAACATTCTCTCACATAAATCGTAGCAATATTTTCTTAGGTCAGTCTCCCAAGGCAAAAGAAATAAAAGCAAAAATAAACAAATAAGACCCAATCAAACTTACAAGCTTTTGCATAGAAAAGGAAACCATAAATAAAATGAAAAGACAACCTACAGAATGGGAGAAAAATTTGTAAGTAATGCAACTGACAGGGATTAATTTTCAAAATATACAAACAGCTCATATAGCTCAGCAGCAAAAAAACAAACAATCCAATCAAAAAGTGGGTAGAATATCTAAATAGGCATTTCTCCAAAGAAGACATACATATGGCAATAGGTATATGAAAAGATGCTCAACATTGCTAATGATTAGAGAAATACAACTCAAAACTACAATGAGACATCACCTCACACCAGTCAGAATGGCCATCATTAAAAAGTCCACAAAGAATAAATGCTGGGGAGGATGTGGAAAAAGGGAATGCTTCTGCACTGTTGGTGGGAATGAAAATTGGTGCAGCCACTTTGAAGAACAGTATGGTAGTTCCTTAAAAACTAAAAATAGAGTTACTATATGATCTAGCAATCTCACTCCTTGGCATATATCTGGAGAAAACTCTAATTTGAAAAGATATATATACCCCAATGTTCATAGCAGCACTGTTTACAATAGCCAAGATGTGAAAGCAACCTAAATGTATATCAACAGATGATTGGATAAAGAAGATGTGGCACATATATAAAATGGAACACTACTTAGCTATAAAAAATAACAAAATACTGCCATCTTCAGCAACATGGATGGATGTAAAGGTTATTATACCAAGTAAATCAGACAAAGAAAGATAAATACCGTATGGCATAACTTATTTGTGGAACCTTAAAAGATGATACAAATGAACTTATTTATAAACCAGAAATAGATTCACAGACATAGAAATTAATTATGGTTACCAAAAGGGAAAAGGTTGGGGAGGGATAAATTAGGAGTTTGGAATTAGCAGATATAAACTACTGTATAAAAAATAAACAAACAAGAAGGTCCTACTGTATAGCATAGGGAACCATATTCAATATCTTAACCTACAATGGAAAAGAATCTGGAAAATAATACACACACATATATATCTGAATCACTTTGCTGTACACCAGAAACTAACACAACATTGTAAATTGACTATACTTCAATTTTTTAAAAAAGTCTATTTAAAGAAAAATGTTTAAATAGTATCCCTGGAATGCTGATATGGCCAAATTTGTGAAGGTAACTCTCGAATGCTGAAATTTGGCCACTTTTGTGGGTAGACAGTCCTACCTAATTTAAATCCCAAGAGCTATGCATTCCAGGCCACATGGCATTGGAACCCTTGGTTCATGTCCCTAAACTGAGCCTCCCATTTGTGAAATAAGGACTTGCTTACAGAGCTGTTGTGAGGATCATGGAAAAACAATGGTAAAGTAAGGAGCCAAGGGCCTGGCACAGAAGAGCCCACCCTGCATTACTATGGCATGAGGGTAGAGTGAATTGTAGGTTGGCAGTCAGCGATTTGGTTTTAGCCTTTATGCCAGGCTTTTTGAAAAACTTTTTTACTGTAGTGTAATCTACATCCAGAAAAGTGCAAATATCATAAGGGTATCCCTCAATGACTTCTGACACGCCCCAGTAACCAGCACCAGGAACTCCTTTGTGTCCTGTCCCAGGGTGACCACTAACCTGACTTCTAACAGCATCAATCAGTTTTGCCTCCTTCTGTCCTTTATATACGTGGAATCCTACCGGAGGTCTGCTCTTGTGTGCTTGGCTTGTTTTACTCAACATTGTAACTGTGAGGTTCATCCATATTGTTGTGTATCTCTGTAGATTGTTCATTTTCATTGGGGGACAGCACTGAATTAATTGTGCTTAGGTTTAATTTATAAAGGCAACTCAGTGACAACATGGAGAGGTCAATGTCATTGAAAGGAAACTTTAATGTTCCTCACAGTTGCCCTGGAAGGGAGAGGCACAGCATGAAAGTTTATCACATGCAGGGACCAGGCAGCAGAGAGAGTGGAACTAACACTCTGCCTTTAGGACTACGGTGGCAGGAGAGTAAAGTAGGGACGTCCCCTATTGAGTGGGAGTGAAAACACATACGTTACAGTACGTGGTTGGGGGCTTCGTAATATGAGTTTTGCATGCCAGTGAAAGCTGTTATGAGAGAGAGAGGTAGACAGCTTTGGCCACTAGTTTGGCCCTGTAATAAATGAGTGCCAAGTAGACAAACACAAAATCTGAGAAAACACACAACAGGCTTCCATTGGGTGAATACAGCACAACTTATTTATCCATTATCACTGAGTGTTTGGGTTGTTTCTGGTTTGGAGCTATTACATTCTAGTACATTCTTGGACTTTTTTTTTTGAACATATAAATGTACTTCTGTTGAGTACATGCCTAGAAGTGGAATTGTTGGATCGTACAGTATTCATACAACCCACTTTAGTGGATACTGCGTTTTCCATTGTGGTTTGTGCAGTAGAACCTGAGAGTTCTCCAACACTCCATCATTTCCTCTAAAAAATATTTAGCCACTTAGATATCAAACTTATTGTTTTAATTTTAATTATCCTGATGACTAATTAAGTGGAGCATTTTTCATATGCTTTTTAGCATTTGAATACCTTCTCTTGTGAAACGTCTGTTTGAGTTCTTTAGCCCATTTTTCTGTTGTGTGTTATTTTTCTTACTGATTTGTAGGAATTCTTTATATGTGCTGGATATAGACCCTTGGTCAGATAAATATATTGTAAATGTCTTCTCCCATTTTGTGGGTTGTTTTTCACTTTCTTAATGATGTCTTTTGATGAACAGAAGTTCTTAATTTTTATTTAGTCCAATTTATCATTGCTCCCTCTATGTTTAGCTCTTCTGTGTCCTGTTTATGAAATCTTTGTTGGGAGGCAGGGTATAGCTCAAGTGGTAGAGTGCATGCTTAGCATGCATGAGGTCCTGGGTTCAGTTCCCAGTACCTCCTTTAAAACTAAACCTGATTACCCCCCCAAAATAATCTTTTTAAAATCATAAAAAAAGAAATCCTTGCCTACTGCAAGGTGAAATAGATGTCTTCCAAGGGCTGCATAATAGTTTAAAGTGAAGCCCTGGGGTTGCCTTAGAGGAGAGGACAGGGACATATGTTCAAGGGAGGGGGTGGGCAGAAGAGATGGATCTGACAGCCAAGCTGTACCCTGTTTTGCCCTGATAGAAATAAAACCTTTGTCTTTAATTGCTTAGTGAAGAAATCCAGGACTCTGAGAGGTTAAGTGCCCAGGGTCACAAGGCCTGTGAAGAATTGAGACTTGAACTTCGTTTTTTTTTTTAATTGGGTTTGTTTAGTTAATTAATTAATTAATTAATTAGTTAAAATGGAGATAGCAGGGATTGAACCCAGAACCTCGTACATGCCAAGCATACACTCTACCACTTAGCTATACCCTTCCCGCTTGAACTTCTTGAAATCCCTCCTTCCCCACCTACATGCCTGCATGGCTTTGTGGGAAAATGACAGGGAAAAGTATCACCTGTGGAGGGGACAATTGTTCTCCTGATGGCCTTTCCTGAGAGCATCTCTATGGATGCAAATAGTCCTTTTTGTCCCCAGTGACCTCTGCAGCCTGATGCAGGAAAGTGACCACCTCTGCTTTGTCATTTCTAGGGTCCGCTACCAGGTACTCACCAACCTTGGGGCACTCAGCTTCTCCGTGATCATGGGCATGGTATTTGGTCTCCTGACAGGTCAGTGTGAGACGAACCTTCCTCTGCTGCTGTCCAGGGTGCAGGGCACGGGTCCAGAGGGCACCTTCCCCATGGCTGGATGAGGATGTGCCCATTCCCTTCCCCATGAACCCACCCCCTCAGTTCCAGCCAAATGAAGCAAAGGGCTCAGACCTTGATTATAGAATAAATGAGCACAAACCCACAAAACTTCATAATTGAAAAGGCCCTCAGAGGTCACCTGTGGTGACATTGCAGCTTCTTGAGCCCAAGGCTGAAGATTTCACCAAATTTTGTACAGAAGACCAAGGAAACCCTTATGCCACAAAGCCTACCTCTTACTCCCTAAGGACACCTATAATACTATTTTGTTCAGCAAATATTTTTTCAATATCTGCTATGAGCTAGGCACTGTTCTTAGGCACTAGGGACAGAGCAGTGAACAAACCAAATTTCCTGACCTCATGGAGTTGACATTCTAGCTGGGGAGGGGGCTTTTACAATAAACAGACATATAAATATACACTATGTCAGATGGTGATCAGTGCTATGAAGAGAAATAAATCAGGGTAGGGGAACACAGAGTCATTGTGAGAGTGGGGGGGCACTCTTTTAGAAGGGTGGTAAGGGAAGACCTATTGAGAAAGTTGACCTGTACAGAAGGACTCGAATGCAAAGAAGGAGGGAGATATACCATGTATTTATTTGGGAGAAGAACATTCCATGAAGGGGGGACAGCAAGTGCAAAGGTACTGAAGCAGGAGCATGCTTTGCATGTTCGGGGAACAGCAAGGATGTCAGTGCAGCTGATGTAGATGGAATGATGGGGAGAGTGGCTGGGGTTGAGGACAGTGAACAAGGAGCCAGATCATTCTGAGAGATGGGGAGCCATTAGAGATGTGTAAACAGGACTGAAGTATGTTTTTGCTTCTATAATGTGGCAGAGCAGCAAAGAATCTTGGGGAGATACCAGTTTGCCAGTCTTACTTATATGCTAGCTGAAAATAGGCATTCTGTCCAGATCTCTTCACTGTTATTCTAAAAGAAAACAGCTTTCACTGGTTAGACTCATATATTGTGTCCCTAAGCAGGAAGTGAATTCCAAATAAGAGACAAAATAGCATAAATAGACACTCAGGAGTTGTGTGACCTTGGGCATGTCATTTCTCTCTCTCTGGGAATTGGCTGGCTTCTCCGTAAAATGAAAGGACTGTGGTAACTAATCATTTGGCGTCCTTTCAGCTCTAAAATATGTATGAAGGTACTTTCTGGAGTTACCTGGCTAATTTTAGAGAGTGAGATTGGCTAGAATTGGTTTGATGTACCAATTGGCCTCAGCTTTTGACAGTCTGGGGTGATTAATTAAGTGCAGATGAGAAAAACACCTCCTGCCATTAGCTTACATTCTGCTCATGATGGCAGTGAAGCCCTGAGTAGGGTTGCTAGATTTAGCAATGAAAGTACAGGGCACTCATTTTTTGAATTCAATATTAACTGAGCATCCTCTATTTTATCTGGCAATTCTATACCTGGATTCTCCCACCATTCATCACTGTCACCGGTGTGGACAAAGTGACACTAATCTGCACTGTCTTGTAAAGCACCTGGGAGGGCTACTTACGTGTCACTGAGGTCAAGAAGGAGCATAGAGGAAAGACACTCCTCTCATTCCTTCAGGAGTTAAGACCAGTGAGCTTTCCTCTTTACATGTTGCTTTCTACCTGAGGGAACCGGTGACTAAAAAGAACTTGGACAATAGAAGGGAAAAGAGTTCTCCAAGCAGCTCAGATGGCACCCAACTGACCCCTTAAAGCCAAGCATTTCACTTGTCGAAAGACTCTCTTCTGTGGAGCTTGACTATATGCACTTAATTTAAGAAAAACTCTTATCAAGCATGGTTATGGGGTTTCCCAGTTCGGGCAGATTAGAAATAGCAGATTAGAGGCGGATAAGTTTCTGGAGGTAAGGCAGGCTGGTAGAAGTCAGACATGAAAGCAGAGAGCCTAGCAGGATAAAAGAAATCCTTAAAACCGACACAAGAACATGAGAAGCCCGGGCCGCTGGAGAGGAGGCCAATAACCCGCAGCAGCTGTGGCCCTTCTCCGTGGGATACAGCGCATTTCATACATGCGTGTTCCTAGCAATAGTTCTAATTAAAAAAAAGAAAAAGTCCAAATGTGTTCAGCGTGGTCTCGTAAGACAAGAAAATATAATATATTTTAGATGGATTTTCATCAGTGATGAGTAAGCCTCAGCTCTCTGGAAAATGTCCGTAGGCGATGGAGATCACTGCTGAGTAATTGTAGCTAAATGAGGTGTGCTGATGGCACTCTACATGCCAACATCAGCAAAAGGCCTGCATTCTAAGAGGAAAATATGAAAAAGCACACGCCTACTCTTGTTAGTCTTACTGTTTAACTCATTGGGAGTGATCATCATTAAAAGTACACAGATCAATCTATCAGTGGCATTTCCCTGCTTCAAGTGAAAGGTAAGCCCTAGTTTATGTACTGGAAATTCGGCAGATTTTGAGCAGCTGGGGGAAGGCGTAGGGGCCCAGCTCTTGGAGCAGAGGCAGGATGGGTGGAAGGAATAGGCACAAAAGCAAGTTGTTAAGTTTCAGCTACTTTCCCAACAAGCGGAACTGTGAGCTGAGGTCACTGGGACTTTATTGGAGCCAGTGATGTTGGACCTACAAGGGGCACCTAATTTGAGTCGCTTGCTCTCCATGGTAGCTCTTGCGTTTTAAATGGACCGGTTTTTAAGTGGGGCGGTTCTATTCCGTCTCTGCAAGCGTCAGATCCATGACTCTCTGTGTAATCTAAACCCTTTGGATGAAATTGCTCTTGCCAGTTCCTTTTAAAAGATGTCTATAGAGTTAATTAAGCTGGTCCAGGAAGGACAGTGCTTCAGTTTATCTCCTGCTTGTGGAAGAAAAAAGGATTTCTGTTGAGATAGCATAGTTGATGTATGACATTTGGATTAATTTTGAGATAACAAATGCAATGCTCTAAATGTTTAACATTTAATTATTAATTTTAACAGGTTTTATCTTAAGCTTCAAAATATGGAAACCACCTTATGTGGCTAACTATTTTAATGGCCGACCTTTCTGGACGGTAAGATTTTTCACCTATTAATGTCATAGGTTTTGAGTGAATGAACTTAAAAAGATACCTGAGTATATACGTTAACTTGGTGTTTATGAGAGTAAAGTAAAAACAAATGAAAATGAAGTATTGGAAGAGAAGCAAATCCATGGTGTATGTGTGTGTGTGTGCATGTGTGTGCGTGTGTGTGTTTGTGGCAGGTGGGGAGTTAGTAAAGGTTCCCGTTTCCCTGATGCCTCAAAATCACTGATGGTCAGGGATGCGGGAACTGTCACTGGCCACATGCCTCCTCCTCATCTGGAGTCATCAAAACAGGCAAATAATTTGACGTGAAGTTGATAGAAGCCTGCAGTGCAGGGGGTAGAAGGTCAGCGAATCCAATCTCCTCACTTGATGGACCTGAGTGGAGCCATGACTGTCCAAGTTCTGACAGGGAGTGAGTGGCAGAGCTGAATAAATTATAGCTGGTGGACATGAGAAAACTTGCAGAATTGGGGTCTGGGGACATTTAGTCAAGGGACATAAAGCTCAAACTACTCAGTGGCTGCTGAGAGTCTGTGACATTGCAGTGTTTGTTGTCATGCCTGGGCTAGAAGGAAGGTCAGAGCTCATCCCCTGAGACCCCACTGTCCTCCTCCCTTTGACCTACATCATGGTTCACAAAGCACTCAGATGGCTGTCACCTTAGGTAATCTTCCAGCTGATGCTGAGGTTGGCTGAGCAAGCAGGGACCGGTACTGCCAAGTTATAAATGGGAATTGGGGGTCGACAGAGGGCAGGCTGATACCACCATTATACCTTCATGAGTGGCAGAGACAAGACCAGGAAGCAGGCCTTCTGAATCTCAGGCCAATCCTTCTCCACCCAGCAGACCAAGACACTGACCACTAAAGGGCCAGAGAACCAGCCTTACTAGGGACCTTGGCTTTTGTGTCTGTAGGGGTGATACAGAGGGAATCTATAGAGGAAACCCGCCTCTGCCCCTTTTCCTTCATCTCTGTGCTCTCTCTCCTCCTCTTCCTTGTCTTCGTCTTGAAACAGCTTTCTGGAGGTATACTTGACAGTGAACTGCACGTATTTAAAGTATACAATTTGACATATTTAAACACACTTATACACCTATGGAAACCATGACCCCAATCAAGGTAAGATTATATCAATCACCACCAAACAGTTCCTCCTGCCTCTTTGAAACTGCTCCCTCCCGACTCCACCCAGTTCCATCCCCAGGCAACCACTGACCTGCTTTCTTTCCTACGGATTAGCTTACATTTTCTGTAATTTTATATAAGTGGAACTGCATGGCATGCACTCTTTGTCTGGCTTTTTTCACTCAGCGTAATTATCCTGGGAGTCATCCATGCCACCTCACGTAATCTGCCTCACCTTGCACCCGCTTCTCCCCACAGCCAGTCTGTCCCAGTCCCCTGCAAGTGTCCCTGCCCCGTTAGCAGAAGCAGGGTAATTTAGTGAAAGGACTCAGAAAACTGGTTTAATCCATCCATTCATTCCGCAAGTATTTATTGAGCAACTGTCATACACCAAGCCCTCTGCTAATTAACCAGAGAGACCACAAATAGGACAAATATCCAGCTCAATTACTTGAGTTGCAGTAAATACTTGCTGAATAAATGAAGGAACTCTGAGGAACCCCACCTAACACTAGCCCCTGCAGCAGCAGGTGACACGGACTGAGTGTGTCCCTGGAACAAGAAGACCTTGATTCTAGTCACTATTCTGCAAGGTGTGATGTAGGCAAGTCCCTTGACCTTTCTTGCTAGTAAAGAACTGTAAACTTTAATCTACCTCACTGGGTTATTTTGAAGATCAAATGAAGTAATAATGTCTGTCACTACATTCTGTAAAAAGCACATGAATGTGAAAGTTTATTACTAAGTGTTGAGACAACCATGGAGGAATTTGCCAGTCTAACAGCTATCAGATATCCCAAGCCTACTGTTCCCGGTTTTGTGCTGGATGCTTTTCAATGTTACCTGACTGTATCCTCCCCAAAACCCTGCATAAGAGTTAAGTATCCTGATCAGAAGATGAAGAGTAACTTGTCCAAAACGACAGAGCTAGTAAATGGAACAGGAGGAATTTGAATTGGCGTCTCTTGGGCTCCAAAGATGGCCTGTGTGTATGTGTTGTGGGAAGCTACTGGAGATTGGTTATTTCTCCCCTAATCTTCAATTTATTGTTTTACAGTTGAGTAGAACCATTTATTCAGCAGTAAAACACTTAGAGCTTGCATTTGAAAAGCCAAATATCCATTAAAGAGGCAAGAATACAAACTTCCAAAGCTGATAAATCCAGGGGTGATTTTTTTTTTTGTAAACTATCCCAAAAGACATCTTAAACATTATTGAATGCCCTTTTTGTATGCTATAGAACCAGACTGCTGGAGGTTGGAAGGGACATTCTTTTAGTGCCAGACCATGCTGAGCACTTCCTGGGATGGGGGCACTCAGCACTCCCCAAGGGCACCCATCTCATCCTTGGATGTGTCTATTGATATACTTATTCATTCACTAATTAATTCCATAATATAATATCTAATATGTGACAGGCATCGTATGAAGAGCTGGAAAGACGAATCTAAATAAAATATAGTTCTAGGTGTTAAGGTGCTGCATATACTAATCCTTTATCTTCTGGTAAATGATCCTAATCCAGATGCTGATTTACAAAAATCTGATTTATAACCAAATTTTCATATATCTTCTGCCTTCACTAAGGGAATAAAGCCTTTCAACTTTTAATTTCAATTTAATAAACCATGAATTTTATTTCATGCTTTCCAAGGCACAAGGACCCACTAACATCCACACACTAAAATTAATTCCACAGCTCACCTTTTTGAAGAAAGGAACTTTTTTTGCCAGTCTCCTGTGGACAAGCCCCTGTTCTGAGTATTGTGTGGGGGTATGAACAAAGAAACTAGGGCTCTAGTCACCTGCACTGGATCTTCGTCTGTGCACAGCATTAGCTATTAAGTACTAGAAAGGTAATCCTGGCAGTAGCTGCTAGAAGAATTGGAAGAGGGAGAAGTCATGATTTGGGGAGGTCAGGCAGAATGGAACTTGGAGTTGTATTGGATTTGGTTAAGTGACAGGAAGTGAAAGACATGCCAAGAAAGGGGAGGACTGTGAGCAAGAACAGAAGCATGAAGCAGCTGGCTCAGGGCGAGGTGAAGAGGATGAATGGTGGGCAGAGCCTCTTGCATTATCCTTCAGGCAACTGGTTCCCAAGGTTTAAGGGGGGAAATGGTGCCATAAAATGAATGTTTTAGGGGCGAGGAGCATGATGGGATTATGCATGTGGTATGGATTCTGAAATGATGCCAGTATACTCAAGGTCCTCTATTGCTTTCTGAACAAGTATTCGCAGGTTATTACTTTTTTTAAATTACTGTATTGCCAAGAAATATAAACACTACTGTTTTGACACAAAAACATGACAAAATATGTTGAGTTCCTCCTGCTGTTTTATGCAAAACAGCATAGTCTTGTCACCCCTGCTTCTGATTTAAAGTAAATGTTCTAGACACACAGAAAGTGTCCAACAAATGCTCATTCAACCAAAATGAGGAGAGATGGTTTTTAAACCAAAGCAGGAAAACAGATCAGGGGCCTGTTGAGTCCTTCCCTCTTGGAGAGGCCCAGTGAAAAGAGGCTTGTCTGGGAGGCAGCTCTAAATTGAGTCCTAGTTCACCCACCACAGGCTGGTGCCCTCAGGCAAGTCACTTCCGGGGGGGCAGAGGAGGGTTCAGTTTCTTCATTGGTAAAATGAGACCACATTTGCCATCCTGGAGTCAGACTGATCTGGGCTCTACCACCTCTAGTTCTATGATCTCCCAGAGCTTCAGTCTCTTCATCTCCGAAATGGAGATATCTCAGTAGGTTGTTGTAAGGATTTAAAGGAGATAACGTGTGTGAAATGTTAGCACACTGATCCACAGGAAACACCCCATAAATGCTGGCTGCTCTGATTTCCAGTGCTAGAATTCTGTGATCCAGAGCTACTCCACATGCTGTGATGCTGTGTGGCAGGGTGTAAGATGGTACAACCACAGAAATGGGGAGCTATTCATTTAGTTTGCAGAAGAGAAGACCCAAAGGAGACCTAAGAACAATCTTCAAACACTTAAAAGACTGTCATGTAAAGGAGGGAAAATATTTCTTTCTAGGCTTCTCCAAAGAACTTAACTAGGTCCAGTGGGTGATGTGTATAAACTGCTAACAATTTGAACTGTCTGCAAAATGGAATGAACTACTTCATATAGTTGTGAGTTTCTTGTCACTGGAGGTGTTCAAACCAAAGCCAGGTGATTATCAATGATCCATCCATCTAAGAGATCTTCCAATTCAGAGTTTATAAAAGAACTTCTAAGGCCTTTGTGATGAAACAACATTTTAGGCAACCTAAGTTTCAAGTGATCAAGCCAGAATCAATGTGTGTACAATTTTAAGAGTATAAGGGTTCATCTGTAATAAAAATGTTTGCTTTACTTTTACAGTCTCCGTATTTGGCTGCTGGATATTAAGCAAAGCAACCAAGAAAAAACAAGGCCTGTTTGAGAACAAGACAACTTTTCTCACTGTTGCCCATTTTTTGTGTGTGTGTCAAATACTTGTTAAGCAAAGTCTCCTTATGTACAGTGAAACATGGACAGAGATAGATTTGATATTAAAAATAAAAGACTAAAAACTTAAGTGACAATTTTATAATAATTTTAAATAATTGTTTGATTTCCTTAAAGACGATGCTATGAACATTTTCTTGGGTGCAGACACATAATTAAGGTTTTGGGACAATTCTTAGATTCTTTCTTGTACTTAATAAAGTATGTTACCTGGTTAACTTGTTTACATCAGCAGAGCAGGTGATATAAAAGTGGGAAAAATTAAGAACTCACTTATATTTAGTCCTTGCAGACATTATGCTTTCATTCCAGTGGTTTTATGAAGTAGTGCTTATTCCCTGAGCACATCTTGAATTTAACTGTGGGGAAGACATTCGGGGTCAATGGTGGAGACATACTGCCTCAAGATTTAAAAACTAGTTTGGTGGGGGGAGGGTACAGCTCAGTGGTAGAGTGTGTGCTTAGCATGCATGAGGTCCTGTGTTCAATCCCCAGCACCTCCATTAAATAAAGTCTCTTAAAAAAAAATAGTCTATGACTTTGAAGAAATCATTCAAATTTCCATGATCTGGATTCCCTTATCTGTAAAAAGAGGTGGATGGTGGACTTCAACCCCTAAGATCGCCTCCAAGTCTCACATCCTATGTATCTAAAAACTCACCGTGACTGATCTGCTGTGAGATGACAGCCACACGGTCGTTCTCTTGAGCAGCTGATGACCAGACAATATTCAGAGCCAGGGAGAAATACACGCTGGGGGAAAACTACGGCCGACACAGAAAGATGTACCACAATTTAAATCATCTGAGAGGTATTTTGTGTTTAATGAACAGCTAATTATAGCAAGTTTTATGAGAGAAAACATTTCAAGCTGTAGTTCTAAAGAACATGGATCCCATAGTTAGCTGGTTCATTAAAAAAAAAAAGAAATCCCCTTTTGCCAAAGTGGGGAGCCTGAGGGATAACAGAGTTCCAGAGAGGAACAGACTATGAGAATTCCCAGTAGTTAATGCTTGTAATTGTAACTGACCTTGTTGGTCTATTTTGAGCTTAGTGGTTATATAATGAAACATGGAATCCAACTTGTCTTCAAGCCAACAACAAAAGAATTAGTCACTTGGGTGAAGATCAGTGTCATGTCCCTGTCCTTTTCCTCTTTCCTTCAATGGTGGCTGTGGAGTGATGGTCAGCGTCCCACCAGGACCAGGTGTCACAGCTGAATTACTACTTCCTCCCCTCCTCCCCTCCTTGGTGGCACTGAAGGGATACTTTTGAGGAGACTGGTGGCTGGATCGTGGGGCTTCTCTCTTTCCACGTGTTCACTTGGGAGACACTCAATAGCTACTGATACTGACGTGTTTACAGAATTTCTGGCAAACACATAAACCAAACACAAAGTATATTGAGAAAGAATTCTGACCACTGAATAGTTTTTAAAAACTATGTTTATATTTCACTTAATTATTTGACACAGAAGAGACCACATTTAAATAAACACATTAAGTCTTCAGAGCGCTTTAATTGCAGCTTTGGACCTTAGATATGACAAATACTTACATCATTTCTTTTGTGATTCATTTTTATTTTTACAAATTATACCATGATAAAACTTAATAAAAATTGCACACATGAAATGTTTTTCTTTAACATTTCGCAAGTTAATCAAATGCAGACCACAGTAAGATTTTTTTGGTGGTGGTTGTTTAAACAGGGCATTCTCATGATTTTAGTATTATACAAATTTAAGTCTCAACTACACTCAGAAATAAGTTTAGAAAATGGCTTTACAAAAGACTGGGAGTGAGTAGTAAAAAAAAACCCCATGCAGGGCTGCTATGTAGTAATAAATCAGATGTTTTCACTGCCATAAGTCTTCAGTGCGGCCAAACTTAAAAACGAGTCCTCTGTGAATAAAATAAAAAACATCACATGACTAGCTGAGTTTGGGAAAAGAAAGACTATGTGAGATTTAGGATCGTGGGAAACTAGCAACAGAGAATAATTGATGAGTTGTATGAAAAAAACCATGAGATGTATTAGAACAGAAACTGACTACTCTAAAGTAGTAAAATTCTTCCACTGTGCTCAACTGTGCTGTTTACCACCAGCGTCCCTGCATCCTTAACTTCTGAGTTTGGAGACATATACCACTCTTTAAAAGTTGACTAATGTTTAACATGTAACCATTATATGCCTGATTTTATCAAATTCATTCAACAAACCTTTTTAGAGTGTCAAAGTGCTAGGTGGTGATGCTAGGGCTATAAAGATAAAGAGGATACAGTCCCTGCTCACGTTCTGGATGACACTATGTGGTCAGTATCAGGAGAGGGGCATATATACCAAATGTTTGGGGGCAGAGACAAATGGAATTTATTTTGCCTGAACAAAATAGGAAAGGGTTTGCAGAAGTGGTAGTATTAGACCAACTTTGAAAGGTAAGCAGGAATTTGAAAGGGGCGCCGGTAGGAACAGGAGCTAATGGGATAATGAAGGAAGATATTTCAGGGAGAGGAAATGGGAAAGTAAAAGGCAAAGAGGAATAAAAGACCACAGGGCCGCAGGAAAAGCCCAGGAGACTGATGTCAGGAAATGTCTCCACAGAGCTTACACTCTAGGTTTTAGGTTGGAAAGTGTCTACGGTTACCCTCAAGGCTTCAGTTTAAGAGCACAGAGGGCAGTTATATGCACTAGGAGACACACACATGTGTGCACGCACACACACACACATCTCGATGTAGGTATCTGAGATGTAGCAGAGCAGGGAAGAGTCTGATACGGCTAGACTGCAGTTTAAAAGACAAGGAGGATAAGGAATGGAGGTGGCCAGGACTTGGTAAGCCAACTGACCAGGGTGGCAAATTGCCCACAGGGGCCTTAGGTGCCTTAGACAAGTTAAGGGGGCAGATGCCAGCCTGTGATCTACTAAAGGGGGCAACTGGTACTCGGTCCCAGGCAATGCGTGGAATGGAACTATGTGGACATGCATCCTCCTTTTAAATAAACAATTTAGCTTCAACTGATAGTTGCTGAGCAGGGCCCAGGGTTGTCAGATCCTCCAGTCTCTCAAGAAAAGCTAAAAATTCAATTTTTGGGGTAAAATCTCTTGACTTTTTAATGTCAGCTCAATAAAACAAAAAATACTGTGTAGGCTAAATAAAACAGAACTGTGGGCAGAATCTGGCTGGATGGCCACTAGTGATGATTTCTTCTGCAGACAGCTTGGAGTTTTGAGCTATTTTAAGATGGGAAATGACAGGATGGGAGCTATGTTTTAGAAAGAAAACTGACACAGAAAAACCGGATCTGAGAGAGAGTATCAGTCAAGGCAGTGAACTGCTCAGGAAGGGACAAGGATGACAGAACATAAACAATGGAAGTGAACAAGAAGAGAACAGGTTTAAGACAACTGAAAAGCAGATTTATCAGGGCTGTAACGTAGGGGGGTGACTGCAAGGGAGAAATTGAAGAGAGAAGTAGACACTTTCGATGGCATAGCTGGTTTTCATTTTGTTTTCTCATCTGTTTTCCAATTTCCAGTGTATACTCAAGGTTAAGCCTGCAATTATAATGGTCTATTTAAAACAGGTTTCACAGGCCTAAGGTAAACACTTGAGTGTTTTTTTGATGAAAACAAAAATGCAACCAGGAAGTCGTCTATACCCTATTTTGGAAGTGTTATTACTTTATCTTTACAAAGGACTTCATAGGCCTCCAAAACGTGATTTGACCCCTGCTTTTCCAGGTAATATCAAATCTACTGCTGCAGAAAGAAAAACCAAAGTGGGTTATTAGGGGCCCCTATTCTTCAGATAGCTTAAAAGAGATATGGTAACTTCAGCACACTAGTCACCAGATGTGTAAACTGTCATCTCAAGAGTTTCTTGGGCAAGAACCAGTCCCTCCTACCTTTGTACTGACATATGTTCTTGATTTCTGAAACAGTCATTTCTAAGCTGTTGGTGAGAATTGTTCTGTTATAAATCAAAACGGTAGGCAATCTGCTACAAGTATTCTGATAATGGTGTCTATTAGTTGAATTTGATTTCAATTTGCTTATAGTATTTTCACAAAACCAAATTAATTTTTGGACTTAATAGGTACAATAGTATAAATGAGAAATTAGCCTAACTTGTTGCATATAAAAGTAATTTATAACTAATTTGAGACAATGACAAGTCAATGATTGGTTTTCCAAGGTTTTGTGAAATGTGATAACTGCTGTATGAACTTATGTGTTTCTTCCCTCACTGAAAAAGATATTTTCCCATAAATCTGCTCCTCTCAATCCTATTAATCCCTGCTGTGACAGAGTAACTTCTCTGCCAAAAACAGGATCTCAAGGTGGAACTTACTTTATCCTCTATCCCTGACAGAGTAAATAATGATTAAATTATTTTAATCATTATATACTACATACAGAAGGCTGCTTGCTGTCTGCCCTTTCCTGGCCGGTTCTCAGTAAATTCCCTCCCCACCACTCTATCCTGATGCTTTTCTTACCCCTGCCTCTGATCCTGTTATACTACCTTCCTTTGGCTGAAGTTGTGGAGCACTGAATTCCCCCAAGCACCTCTAACCCTGTGGAGATTCTGGAGTAATGAGCTCAGGATGCCTGGTCCTTCTTTAAAGATGTTTAAGCCTCAGCACCGCAGCTTGAAAGGAAAAGAAATCCTAAGTATCAACACTGTCCCTCTCATAAACACATGCTACATCACCCTACAAAACAACTTACTAAACTTATATAAACTGGGGAGGGAGGTTTGTTCACTTTGTATTTTTCAAGTACAGTGTTGTATTCTTAAAAAAAAAAAGGGAGAAGGAGGGAAACAGAACTAATACTAAGCAACTGGTTGAAGACTCAGCAAAAGGAGAAAATTGTTCACTAAATTTATCCCAAATTCCAAATTTCATCATCATTAATAGCTGGAGACTGTGATCTTTGAAGTCAGAGAGCCTGAATTTCAGCCACATGATCTCAAACATGATCTCTGTGTCTGTTTCTCACATATAAAGTGGGGATAATAGGGGAGCTACCTTCAGAGTTGTTTTGGAGATTAACTGAGAGAGTCCATGAAATGCACTAAGAATGATTCCTTGTGCATAAAAAGTGCTCAATAAACCTTGGTCATTTTTATTTCTGCATAGAAATCAATGGTTTAACGTTTAAAAAAAAAAAAAAACAACTCTGGGTTTTCCCCACTAGTTTCAGGACACAAGGTATGCCCCCAAAAGGCTGTGTATCTTGCCACATCTAAGTTCATATTTTTCTTATTTCCAAACTGATTTTATAAAACTTGCAAAAATGCTTTGTGGTGGAATGGATTAACAACTGCTGACTATTATTAGAGGGCAACTATTAGTGTTTCACCAGTGGTTTAAGTAGATAAGAGGTGTCTATTTCCTTTTAGGAGGTTTAGGAGGTTGGCGGGAAGGGGCAGGGAAGGGAAAGCCCTGGAATAGACTGTCCTAGAATATACAACAGGTTTTTTTAAAAAAATCTTTTTTTGGATTAAGGACATTTTTGAAAATTTGATGAAAGCCAAGACTCTCTTCCCAGAAATGAGCAGAAAAACCAACGTCTCTCATACAGAAATGTCTGGTGGTTGCCAACCTTCAGAAGCCTACCCATGGAATGGAAGTTAAGAACTCCTGATGCACAGGATAAAGAGAAGTGTTTTTTGTTATTGTTTTTTTTTTTTGTGGGGGGTGGAGGTGAAGTGGGAAGCTAATGATAGGGGAAAGGGCAGGCTCTAAGAATGAACATTAGAAAAGATTAGTGATAAAAATGTTAAGGTTTTTAGGGGTCTCAGTAACCTTTTAATTTGTCATTGCATCTGAAGGATAAAAAAATGTCAGGGCTTTTCCTCCACAGCTCAAATATCATACACAAGTTCTAGTGACACCAAGGGTAGAAACAACCATAAAATGCATCCAGAAACAAAATTTTTAAAAGAAATGGTTTTAAGCAGGCTTTCATTAAAAGCAACTGTTAAGGATTCAGATTTAAAATGAACATTGTCACTATTATGTAACTAACTCTACACGAATCACAGTTCTTCATTAAAGGGAAGGTGATAGCAATTAAAAAGAATTAATGTATGTTCCCATGGTTGGCAGCAAACCAACTCATATATTGAAAATACATTTTTTGGTCTCATTTTTCATATTTTATGACAAGACATGGGGGAGGGGCATTAGAGGGGGCAAATTAAGCAACTAAAAACAGTAAATGACATAAACTATTATTTAAAAAAAGAAAAAAGATACGATGAAAAATGCAATACAAACTTACCCAAAAAAGATGAAGGCATTTTGGAAAAATACAGCAATTCCAGGGTATACTATGGCTTTTTCTGTAAAAGTAATTGTAATATTTAGAGGTTTATGGTCTCAAAACATTCAATTTCTGATAAACTGGTGAACATCAGTTTTCCTGCCCAACATAATTGATTTTTCTGGTAACTATGGTTGGTTTGAGTATTAAATGACATAATACATATGACAGAGTACAGTATTTTTGCTGTGATAAGCAGTCAATTTTACCCAGAACATTAAATGGATTTCATATTTTTCTGGGGTCCCTCAAGGCAAAATTTGAGCCAGGGACCCAAGAATAGGTCTTTTCCTAGCTTGCCTTAAACCGGTCTTATATAGCAGATACAGATTAAGTGTTAATTTACTTTTCCATCTAAAAGAAGATGATATATCATCAGGCAAGCTTATTTAGCTCAATAAACTTCAATTCTAGGATGTCTGAGCTCTGTCTGAATATTATTCAGCAAGTAAAAACTTGCCAAATAACTCCACAACATATGTATTCCGCTTTTGAGGTTTCTGGAAGTCAAAGAGAAACAAAGTATGGAGCTGTGTCCCATTGTTTCCCCAGCTCTCGATTAGGAGGAAAAATACAGAAGAAAGGAATACTAAAACCATACCAAACAAACAAAACAAGTACAGATGGGGGAAGGGAGTTCCCAGGCACAAATGCAGTACCCGTAATTGGCCAAACTACAGAAAAGCAGCTTTATTTTAAAAAACAAACAAAAAAACCCAACTTTAATGCAAAATTTCAGTATCCCATTGATATAAAATGTAAACCGTGCTTTCTCTTACCTTTAGCAACATACCCTCCAAAGAGAATCCACATAGATGCAATCAGAGAGCCAAAGGCCAACATGAAACCGATGAACAGCCAAATTCGAGCACCTGAGGAGAAATAACATTATACCAGAATTGTTCCTCCTGTGGCAACAGTCAGTTCAATTAACTTTTCAAAAAAGAAGGCAGAACCCAAACATTAAAAATGTGCAGTCTCCATTAAAGTCTACGGAGGAACAGTGGAAAAGGTGTGCTGATTATCATCAGGGCAGACGTGGGCTTTCTTCCTGTTGGCTGGTCTGTACAGTGCAAGTGCTTCTGTTCATGCTCCTCAGCTGTGCACACTGAGAAAAACTTTACTCACCCTGCCTGTAGAAATCTCACAAAATATGTTTCACCATATTCAGAAGCTCATTCTCCAAATATTTTTAGAAATTGTGCTCCCATGCTTAAACTCCTCCACGAGAACTTTCAAACAATAACAGGTAGACTTAACAAAAAACACATATTCAGCACTATGTGAATCTAAACACTACCATATTTCACTTTCTGGCAAGTCAGGTAGTAAAGTAAACTCAAATTTATTGTGGCTGGTACTTAGGACTAAGCTGCATTAATATTATGTTAACAGAGAAGACAATCAACTTACTTATAAATCCCATTTACATAAGATTTATAAAGATTTGCTATAAAATAAATGGAGTTATTAGATTGCCTAAAATGAATTCTAAGATAAGTGTGTTTAATTTAGCACAAATACATTTCAATAAAAACACTGCCTTGCTCAATAAAGCACAGCAAATAGAATGTTACACATAAATTTCTAATTTCACACCTAAAACAAAAAACAGTTCTGAAATAATAAGCTGTTACTCAGAGATGTGATATTAAAACAAAAACAACTAGCTCTGGACCCCCAGAGCTGTGCGAGCTAACAGATTTTATTTACGGATGTGATGGCCATATTCTGTTTGCTCTTAGCTTTAGTTGTTATTGGCTGATTACTGCCAACACTAACTGCTAACAGTCATCTCTTCATCCAGAGTTTATAAGGTTGTAGTCTATCAGTATTTCTGTATCTCTTCTACTTAAGTCCATCTACGAAGAGAGTGAACCAGAGAAGAGTCTGAAAGCACAGACCAGAGCTGAATACTGAAGTTTCTCCTGTTTCATTAGGGAAAAAAAAGTCACCTGAAATATGCCTATATCCAGGTTTATTTTTGTGTGGACGTAATATTTTAAGTTTACCACTTAAACTGCTTAATATCTGTCCCCTCAAATGTTTGATTAAATTGGCTCTACAGGAAGCTGTGTTACACGCATCCCGTATTCTGCCTACCATGGATGGGTACAAGGCCACGGGGTCCAGGGGACATGAGTTCCTTAGTTGAAAAGGACAGGCCTGATTGACACGAAGCACTAAAATTCTATTATTCTACTCAGTTTTGCAATATTAAAAGAGTTCTGGAGGTTGTTTGCACAACAAAGTGAATGTACCCACTACTGAACTGTACACTTAGAAGTAAGTTAAGATGGTAAATTTTACATTGTGTATTTTAAAACACACCAGAAAACTACGATTCCAAGCTATTTCAAAATGCTAATTCAATCAAATAAGGTTGGCAAAAAAGGGAAGAAAATAATTTACATGGTATAGCTTCATGTACCATAGACTCTTATTTTGCACGTGCATTCTTTATTACATGCTGTTCTTTACTGTACGCTGTATACTTTCCTAGCTACGTATTATTGCACACAGTTTTATACTCAAAACTGTGTAGTCTGCACTATTCAGCAAACTTTGACCAAATGTGACTTTTACCTTAGGCCTTGGAACCTATAACTCTACTCAGATACACCTCCATCCTATCCCTGATCTGAAAGAGTTAGACAAGTATGTATAATTCCATGTATAATTCTCATTTTAAGGGTGTGTAGTGAGATGTCATTTGCACCTATTTACCTGTTTGACCCAGGCAGCCTTCACTGTAACTATCACCTCGGACTTGTCCATTCGATACTGCATTAATCCTGTATGAATACAATAAAACCAAGAGATCAGGGTCTCTGACTCGAAGAGGAAACTATCCATGACATCAAATTACCAGGAACAGTAAGCCTAGAGTTCTGCAAATATAAGCAAAGTCTTCATGAGTCTTGAGTAATGGATTCATAAGACCTAAAGCAAGTCCCTTCAACAGGATATCTTGTAAAACAATGGTTATAGTACCCAGACCAGCAAAGTCAGCGCCACCTGGGGACTCTTTAGGAAGAAAAGTCCCCAGCTCCACCCCAAGTTTACTGAAGCATAAACTCTGGGTATGGTGCTCAGCAATCTGAACTTTAACAGATCAATCCTTCACGTGATTCTGATGCTTCTTAAAAATTTGAGAATGAAATTCCCAAAATATATATTGCTAAAACTGGAACAATTTTTAGCTTGGTCTTATCTAGTTTTCCATTTGTACACATTAGACATATTCAGCATGAAGAGATTCAAGTGGTAAAATCTTGTTTCTTTCAATCCCCAACACTTATTCCAAACGTAAGTCTTTTGCTGACTTTCACATAATACCACACTAAATTGAGATAGTCTTGCTTTCTTTAGAGGTATCCTCTGGGAAGGGGAGGGTATCGATCAGTAGTACAGTGTGTGTTTAGCATTCATGAGATCCTGGGTTCAATCCCCAGGACCTCCACTTAAAAAACAAACAAATAAATAAATAGAGGCATCCTCTGAAAAATTTTAAATGTCATGGGAAAATGTTCACAATTTAACACGTTAAGAAGTTTGAAAACTGTGTGTGTACATATATATATGGATATAATTATATATATTAAATGGGTGTGTGATATATATATACATACATATACAGTATGCATGTCTACCATTAGAATGTAAGCTTTATGAAAGCAAGGGCTGTGTCTATCTCATTTCCCATTTTTACTCTCAGTGTGTAGCACAGGGCTTGGCTATAGGAGGTGCTCAAAAATGTGCTGAATACACGAACCTTAATTTTTTCACAACAATATGAAGACTTAATTTATTCATTCAAATCTAAGCTTCAGAATAATTACTTTCATAGTAATTTTCAGTGATCTCTATATTAAATTATTTGGTGCATAAAATAAATACTTTTTAATAAAAACAAGCTTCACATTTTGAAACAATGCAGACATTCTTGGGTCAATGGCTCATGGCTCTTGTTTTTCTTGCTGAGCCATCTGAACACACTTCACAGCCCTCTGTTGGGCAGCCGTGACCCTGCCCCCTCAGTCTTCACTAACAGGCACATTTCCTAATGCACAATCTCTTTTTGTTCTCTGGCATTACTAGTTTTATATGTAATCTCAAACTGACAGAAAAGTCACAAGTATAGTTCAAATAAATATGTTTTCCTGAACATCTCAAAGTTGCCAACATGATGCCCCGTAACTCCAGAAATTTCTGTGTATTTCCTACAAACTTGACAGTTCTACAGATCAAGATCAGGAAATTAATGATGATCCATTACCATTATCTAGCCATCAGACCTCATTCAAGTTCCCAGGTTGCCCTGATAATGGCTGTAAATAGCAAAAGCATCCTCTCCAGACCATAAGGCATATTTTGCTCTCCTGTCTCTTTAGTGTCCTCAGTCTGGAACAGCTCCTCACTCCTCTCTGGCTTTTATGACCTTGATCTCTTACTCCAGCCATACTGGTCTCCTCACCACTGAGCCTTAGTTACTTGCTCTTTGTCTGTCTGCAATGATCCTTTCTTATATATCTCCATGATCAGCTCCCTCATTTCCTCAAGTTTTTACTTAAAAATCACCTCCTTCCTTGACTCCATAACTTTGTAAGGCATGCCTTGACTAACGCATGGTTTCTGAACTAAAAGTAAAGTTATAAACAGCACAGAAAAAAAAGGACAGCTGAGAGAGGCTGGGAGATAGAGGTGGAATCGGAGATGTGGAAGGAAGAATAGAAAAGAGGACTGTTGCTTCTCTTAATAAGTTCTTTCTATGATTTGACTTTTCAACCCTGTCTGATATGTTAATTTGGTAACACTTAAAAATTTAACTCTACTCAACTATATGTAAAAAGCTTTTATTTTGTGACAATGTACGTAAGTCCTGTCACTAACAATGACACTTACATTAGGAAGGCTATGGTTGCTATAACACCACAGGCGTGGTAGGAGTGGTTGAAGTCTTCCATGCTAGGATAAATGACAGCTGCATCTATGATAATCCACCAGCCTGTAAAAAACTAAAACAAACCAGAAAGGAGAAATTACAGTAGTTTCATATCTTACTGGCTAAAAAGAAAGCACTGTATCTAAGTAAAGAGACCCCTTCTAATAAAGTCCAAAATTTTCTTAAATGTTCCAGCAGTTTCCTGCCTATAACTGGCACATGGCTTAATAGCTGATGAAATATTAGATACCCTAAAGTGCCAAAGCAATTGTTATTTATTAGTAGGAACTTCTTTTCTAAGTCTCCTGCAGTCATTATTTTATACTGTCATATTCAATACTGTAATCTAATTTTGTAATCTAATTACAATGCAATCTAATATTATAATCTAATTTCCTGAACTAGAAATAATTTACAATATCTCATGGCAGGAGAAAGGAAAGAAGTGATTCAGACTCCAATTGACAGGAGAAGTGGCCTGTTGCTGATATATTATAAGCCTCCAGAAAAATATTACTACTGAAAATGAAAAAAAATATATTCAAAATACTATGGGAGAATACTTATTGTTGACAGAATTTCAGCGATCCTCTTAGTGTGAAATAAGTAACAGCTCTGCAGCTCTGCTTTTCCTTGAGGAACCATAGTGCAGCCTACAGATGGTTTCAGTTGTGACAACACCTGAATTTCAATTTCAACACCAAATTATAATTCATCTCAATTGAATTTGGTTCTGGATATTATCACGGGCAAATATACAATGAAAGACATTAAAACTACACAAATATTTTTTATAACCTGAGCCGAAACTTAAAATAAGACGATATTATCCAAATTCTGGTAAGTAGCTTAGAAGGTTTGGAAAGTAACCTCCTTCCCTTCACCCACTTCCAACTCTGACCTAGTTATCTCTGCAAACTACCATCTTCAGGAAGTTATTTTAAAATAACTATTTTAGGCTAATCAAATTATTTTTATCAGGCTATGGACAGATCTATACTAATGACATTATATTGGCTAGCACAAGTACTTTTTCACTTTTTCTTTTTTTACCCTTAGTTCAAAATATTCAAGATACTTTCTTTACAGATTAAAATTTAAAGCTTTTTTTTTGGGCTCTTTGTAAGAGCAGAATTTGTACAGCAGTTTTATATTCTGACATTACTTTGGAAAAATGTAGGATAATTATTTTTCGCATATTATAACTATCAGAGACTAGGCAAAGAGGATATACTTAAACTTGGATTTTTGTTTGCTTACTTAAAATTCACTCTTTAGAGTATATGACATTAGAGCACAAAACAACAAACATCAGATGCCTTGAAGGATTTATAATGTAAATAAGAATTTTATACTTCTAAACAATATGTTCATTAATGAATTCATTTTTTCTTTTTTTTAATGAGATTGAGAAGTTAACCCTGGATTATGTAGAAATGCAATCATATCTCTTGAATGGTTTTGACCTGATTTTTCTTAAACACTTCTTGGTAACTTAATGTACTCATTAAGGAGGCATAATCCTTACAATGAATAAATGTATAAAATATACTGTCTTGTATATTATAATATTTTTTTTCATGCAGTCAAAGAAAACAATCTACTAATCAAATTTCAAGCCATAATGTCAACACTTTACGTGGAATAACTCAACACCCTCATAAATAAAATATCAGCATTTATTATTAAAAATTCAGTGGTCAAAGATAAAACAGTACATCTTAAAGACATCATACAGAATTCAAAATACATAAAACAAACACCGAAAAAATGAAGGTCCAGATTATCAATGACACTTACCAGAACACCAGCAGCAATGGAAGCAATAGTATTGCGCTTTTCTCCCCAGTCAACGCATTCAGAGCATCTCAAGCCTTCTAGAAATCCGGACATTTTTTTCAAGTCACTTAAAAAAAACAACAAACACACAAAAGCAACTAAATAAAGTACTTCTATCTACTTGCTTCAAACCTGACATATGTTTCTAGAAAAGCAATTAACAGTTCAGGAATAATTCAATAAAAGTGAAGTTACAAATACTTTATTGGGCTACATTTACTTCAGAATATTTGAGTTTTTTATGAAATTCCACATAACTTTGGAAAATAAGACTTGGATTCATTTAGGTTTCTTTTTTTAATTTAAAAGATGGTTTTGGTATATTTCAAGTAACATAAGCAAAACTGGGCATCCAAATATTGAAAAAAATTTGTAATGATTATTATTTTCATTCCAAACTAAATTATAATATGACTTAGATATTTATAGTCCAGGAGCACTAACATAGTGGACAAATGATAAACTTTGGCTCCGAGTTAAAGCATGCACTCAGATGAAAAATATTTCTCTTAGCAATTTACACATTTTATCATAGAACATGTTTCTTCACACTCAGATTAAGAAATTAAACACTGCACTGCAGGTCTTCTACCCATGTCTTTTCACTTCATTATTTTTCCTCCTCCAAGCCTGCTTCTCAGTGTCATTGCTATATAAAGAACACCTACTCCATTTTAATAATCTCTATCTCTGATTCTAACACGTTTTCAGGCCAAAAGAGAGCATAAAATTGAAGTCAATATTAATTCACACCAAAATAAAAATCCACTGCTAAATTACCATAGGTAAGTTACCACTGACGACAATCACATAAAACACTCCTTTGGGCTAGGGGCTCTGCAGACCCAACCATTTTCTCTCTATTTCAAAACATCAAAAAGCCTGCATTAAGTGTAACTTGTTAATAATCAAGCAAACACTCAAACTCCTACAGCGAATCTTAACAAGTCCATGAAGCCAGTAATCATGGGTGGCTAAAACAGAGCAATGAATCCAGTTGTAACCTACCTTTTAAAAGTTAAATATTAAAAACTGTTACTATAATCAGTGCTCAGTCTTTAGGACAAGTCTAATTTTGAAAATTCACTCGTTTTATTCTTCCCTGGGAGGAATAGTAATTCAGTGTGTTACTTTCGGTTTACCCCAATGACCCCGCCCCGAATCTATTTTTCCTGGATTTATTACTTGCACACTTATGCCCAAACACCTCCCTCCAGACTCCAGGGATTTTAGGTGCAGAGAGTGGACGGGATTGGGAAGATGTGGGAACTAGTTGTAGCTCAGCCACCTCCCTCGCCGAAGGAACCAGCCGGCTTACACGCCCTTCCGGGGGTGACAGTTTCTCCAGCTGTTAAGTGAGGGGGCATGGTGATTTTCGGGGATCCTGTGTCCGCCAGGGGAGGGACGCTGTCCCGCGGCCTGGCGGAGTGTGGACGCGGTGTCCCCATCCCGTAGCCAGCGGGACGCGGGGTCAGCAGGAAGTGGCCAGGAAGGCTCCAGCAAGGCACAGCCTGAGCCCGCAGCTTCCCAGAGGGTGGACATAAAGACCCAGTCAGCATCCTCCCGGCAGACAGTCTCGGGTCCGAGCCTCATCTGGCCTACGGCGGTTCCACCCCTTTCCCCACTCCCACCTGGCACTTACGTCCAGCCCGACCGGTGCAGTCGGTCCAGAGCCTGGTGTCGCGCCGCGCGGGATCCCTTCACTTTCCCAGTTTCAGCGAAGAAAACAAAACAGCCACAGGCCGCCGGATACCCGGATGGAGCAGCGCCGCCCCGGGGCTCGGTCGCGCATGCGGATACGCGGCAGAGGGAGGGCACGGGGAGAGAGGAGGACGGGCTGAGGGAGGGCCAGAGAGCCACGCCCACCGCGCCAAAGTCTCTGCGCATGCTCGGAAGACAGCTGCAGAAGATTATTGCCTCTCTCAGTTCACGTCTGGACGTCGGAAATGGTAGTAGGGTACAGCTTTCAAGGGTAAGTGTGAGAAGTTGCTCTTTGTGTTAAGCTTTCGAAAGAAGGCGTTTGTTGGCGCTCTGTATCCGTCTTCAGTGAGGTGGTAAGTATCCTAGTGCTGGGGTCGGTCCCACTGTTATCTCAAGCATGGGTCCCGCATGGTGCAAAAGATGGGTCCAGGTTCGCCGTCCCATAGCATTAATCCGGGTTTTAAAGTCTTGTTTATGGGGGGAGAGTGCATGCCTAGCATGCAGGAGGTCCTGGCTTCAATTCCCAGTACTGCCATTGAGTAAATAAATAAAAACCTAATTACCTCCCCACACACCAAAAATAAATAAGTAAAATCTTATTTTCCCAGAGCCTGGTCCCGCCGTCGCCGTAGCTACACCTGTTTGAGAGGTGGGGTCATTACCGGGAGGCGGGGACGTCCCGGTTTTGCAAGAGGGCTACTTGGGTGACCCAACTGGGTACCGGTGCGGTGACCCACTTCTTCTGGGACTTGATCTTTTTTTCTCGTTTGCTTACGGTAGGGTTTCTCAGCCTAGGCACTCCTGACATATGGGGCCAGATAATTCTGTTTAGGGGGAGGGGCCGTCCTATGCACTCTAGGATGTTTATCTGCATCCCTGACTTTTACCCAGTTGTAGCAACCAAAAATGTCTCCAGACTGCGAAACATCCCTTACCGGGGAAAAATCATCTGGTTTGAGAACCACTCCTTAGGAGATGATCTGGGTTTTGGGGAAGTGACACTTCTCAAAGCTGGAAGCAACGATGTTCTAGCTACCTGAAAGACTTGTGGCTGGGCTCGCGCCGTCTTCCAGAAGCTCTAGGTCCGGTTCCAGTGTCTCGCTGGTGTCGGTCGTGGTCCAGGAGTCAGAGCCCGCCCCGGAGAAGGTCATGGTCTAGTCCCAGAAAACGCCACCAGAGAACGTACAGGCGCCACTGGCATTCTTTCTTGCGGAGCGGATCGCAATCTCGTAGGAGGTCCCGCTCTCAGGGAAGGTCATATTACAGAAGGGCCTTCTCCATCAGGTGGGGGCGACAGTAGTAGGGCTTTGACCCTGTGGCGTACCCGAAAGGACACAGCACTTGGAGGCAAGAGATCAAGGAAGGGGTCATGGAGCAGAACCCCGTTTCGCTTGAGTAGAAAAGGTGGGTGGGTTATTTTGTCAAGAGAGGCGCACAGCTTCACCTTTATTTTTCATTTAGGGCCAGTGTATGAGTAGGCTAGGGAACCAAGGTTGTTGTGTCGTTTAATTTCTTTGATTTCTTTTGATGTATGAAATCTTTGTAGCTTTGGTGGAGGGGGCATTAGCTGATTAGTAGACAAAACTATACAGTAACAATCCATAGCCTATTTTTAAACGGACATCATTTGGGATTAAAGATTAATTGTGACTTTAAATGGCTCAGGGTGAAGGAATCTAGTGCAGGCAGTTCTTAATGGAACCTTTTAAATGTCTATTAGTGACTTAACATTAGCTTACCAGCTCTGAACAGCTTTAACAAATCTTTCCTTCAGCTTTTAATGTTATCTAATGACTGTGGGAGGAACAGTATTAACTTTCTCTTTGCCTTTTCTGTGTCAACCTTTTTTTTTACATTTATTGCATACAATGAGTATTTTATAAGCATAAGTGAGCATCTTTGTTTTGCTTTTATAATAAAACAAATCATTAATTGGTCGTTCTTAGCCTTTGGAGAGTATGCCATAGAATTATTGAGTGTTTGGTTTTTTCTTTGTAGATAAAATGGAGCTATTAGAAATAGCAAAAGCCAGTACAGCTAAATCATTAGGAATATCCAACCTTGACTTGCCAGCTAGTCTCAGAACTGTTCCTGTAGCTAAAGAAACTATGGAACAGCTATAACAAATACTGCAAGGTTTAAAGTAAGCCAGACTTATCCAAACAAAACTTTCAGAAAAACTACTGTCAGAAAGAATTGATTAACCAATTTTATTTCATTTACCTTAGACTACACTTCTCAGAAAGTCTATCTAAATATAATTTGCTAAAGTCAAAATAGCAGATCTGAAAATACAAGCCAGACTCACTCATGAAAATGGAAGAATAATGAACTTTATTTTTGGTGACCAACCATACCAAATTGGGACTGTTCCTGAAAGTCCCATGTTCCAAGAAACTCCTCTTGGGTAAAAAATGCCCTGGTTTTCAGTAGTGAGTGCAAAGATTAGAGGGGAGAGGAAGAATACAAAACCCATATTATGGTCCCTCAAAAAGGGGCTGATGTTGACACCATTTTTATGAATATGATGATTGTCTGCCTTCTGTTAATCAGGAATGAATGTGGTGATTGTCAGCCTTCCATTGACCACTGATAATGGCAACCATGATTTGTGTGGTCCACATAATACATCCATTGTATTGCATATCAAAAAAAATCCATTATAGCATTTTCTCAGAGCAACGTAAGTTCTTGTTAACAGTCCAATTAACTGTTGTGCTTTGTATGGAGATAGTGCTAGTCTAATTTTTAACTTTGTGAATATTGTGACCATGTTTTCTAAGAGTTCAGATAATGAAAATGAGAGTGAGTTCAATACCAACGCCAACATGACCCAGACAATACCGAGAAAGAAGACTATAAATAGCTATGTTATTTTAATGGCAGATGGAAGGACACTTACCACTGGATTAGGGAGGTAAATAACATAAACAGGGCCTATTGCACAATATGCAGAAAAGAATTCGAGGTTGGCCACGGTGGAAAAGGGGATGTGAAAACATTTATGGAGACTGAATCTCACAAGACTGGGATGAGACAAGCAAGTACTTTTGAATCAATATGAAGTGTTTTCATCTCCCAAAAAGACACCAATGCTCAAACGAAAATAGCAGCCACTGAATTAGCTTGGGCATACCACACAAATAAGCATGCGTTGTCCTACTGCTCCATTGACTGTTCTGTGCAACTGAGTAAGGTTATGCTTCCTGATTCAGAGGTTGCAACTAAAATGTCCTGTAGGTGAACAAAAGGGGAGATTTTGATCACAGATCTGTTGGCCCCTTAAGTGTAGAGCTGATTCTGTCAGATCTTACCAATAATCATGCTTTCTATGGTATATCAAGTGTTGTGTTGTGTTGATCATGGCAATAAAAAAGTGTTCCCCCTAGTTCTTAGGTACTTTGATTTGAAAAATAGAGTTTCAAACTGTCTTCTTGATTTCTGTGAAGATTTTAACGAAACCTCAGAAAACATAAAACAAAAGATTGTTGATATCCTGTCCAAATACAACCTAGACTTTGCTCACCTATCTGCATGTTCAGCATAGTGCAGGTGTAAATTTCAGCAAATTCCACTCAGTCTATAAACTTCTTACCAAAGACAATGAAAAGATCTTACCTGCTCAATGTCCTGTGCACCTTGTACACAAGACTGCTAAAAAGGGGTGTGATTTGCTTTCCTGTGACATTGAGGCTTTCATAATGAAAGTTTTTGGTTACTTTTCAGTTTCCTCAAAACGTGCAGAAGCACTTAATGAGATTTTTGACTTTGTAGAAATGGAAGGAGAGAGACTCTTTAGACAGATGCCAACAAGATGGCTGTCATTGTTGCCAGCCATAGAAAAGATGTTAAAATGTTGGCCTACCATAAAATACTATTTTCAAAGTGTAGGAAAAGAAGAATGCCCTTCTCTATCTTGGAAATACACTGAAGATGAGAATGGAGAAAAGGATTACAATACAACAGAAATTTATATGTTGTTTCTCCAGAACTGCTTGATGACCTTTGAAGAGGCCATAAGGAGCCTAGAAAAGGATAAACTGTCTGCACCTGAGTTATTTGTTATCATGTGTAAGTTGTGACAAAAACTCATGTAAGCAGGAAAATGACTCATTTTTTTGGAAAGAAAATTGCTTTAGAACTGGAAAAAAGTGTCACCAGAAAAGGG